CCCCGGGGCGGGGCCGCTCCGCTCCGCTCCGCCCGCCCGGCAGCACCGCGGACAAGGCGGCGGTGGCCGTCCCCGGCCCGGCTGACCCCGACGGCGGGCCCTCGGATGCGGGACATCAACGGGCCGTAAGGCCGCAGAGAGGCGGCCGTGCCGGAGCCCACCCGAGACATGTCGTCGCGCCCCGGCCCCACGGGAGGGAAGGGAGGGGGGGGCGGTCGGGGCAGGGCCGCGCTCCAGAAAGAGCCGAACCACGTCCTCATGAGAGCCAGCCCTAGGATTTCTAAGGTTTGGTTTTTTTTAGAGGGAAAGCAGCAAAGTCCCGAGAGCAAGCGAGTCACGAAGAAAGAGCTTGCCGAAGGGAACTGGTGTCAGCACAGACCGCTGACAACCACGACTCTTCTGGCCTTTCCTTCAAAAAAAAAAAAACCCCACATTACAGATTCGAAGCGCATGGAAATACAACTTCACGTTCGCGCTCTGCCTTGCAACACCACGGGGTACAGGCGACAAAAACTCTCCAGAACGGAACACTGTCACAGGCTTCACCCTCCGCTCCAAGCGTCATATGTGTTGCTCTGACCCATTAAACGCCCTGCCAAGGCACTCTGTGGAGCACGGCGTCTTCCTCCAGGAGAAGGAGGAATAAACAACGTGTGACACATCAGTCACGTGACTGAAGGGGTGATGGAGAGGCACCCTCATGCTATAGTGATAGGCAGCGTACAAGAGCCTAGACAAATAAGACCCAGTTTTACCAACAACTTCTCAGGTACCAATAACCTTTCTCAGTTTTCTGAGTGTGGTACTTCACGGGGATTTTTGAGTGTCCACATTCTTTTCCCTGGCAGGTCACTGCTCTTGAACAAAACAGATGCAGCGCCAGACCTAGACCAAAGGCCACACACAGCTCATCAGCACAAACAACAGACAACTGCACATGAGTGCCCTTTGAGCGCTATCAGACAGAAACACCCATACACACCCAAGCTCTCACTCACAGGGGTCTGACCGATATCTACGATGTTTTAGAAATTGCTTTTCAATGCACATAATGCAAAAGATGCCATTAATAAACACCTAACAGGCTGAGCAATTGGAACAAGTCTTCCCCCTCTCCTCAACAATGAGTTCCTGAAGATTTTGTAAGAGGTTCATACTGCTGTCGCTACAGTGAACAAGTAGAGGAAAGAGCCATTTGGTCCTTCACATTCCAAAACTCTGCATCCGTGTTTGCAGGAGCTGTAGGAAGACGACCTGCAACTCAGGTTTCCCCCCTCACAGCCTCCAGCAACCAGAAAACCTCCTGTTTCTGTTGGAAGGAGGCAACAAATCGACTCTATAAAGCCAGTTTTATGTACCCCAACAGACCAAATCACAAAGCTATGCAAGAAGCCAGCACGCTAAATTGTATAATACTGCAAGGTGAGACAGGGCATTTTACTCCCACCTGATGTTAGAAACAACATAGAGGTTATGTATCGCCAACCCTTATGGAAGCTGCACATAGCTTTTGAGTCAGGTCATACCTTGTGCTTCCCATAAGCTAGGCGTTACCCAAGATACAGGAGGCTTCCCATGGATGATGATAATATCATGGATCAAGTATGGATACCACTGTGCACTGCAGAAATAACACACAAACATGAATCATCCCATGAATAAGCGGTTCCTGCCTGAGGGGCATGAGATTCCCAGGTCCGTATTTAGCAAGAGTCATATCCATCTCTCTTGGCCTCTCCTGTCACTCACCGCCACTGTCACAGCCTTGCAGTACAAGGAATTGAAGACAACATACCTCAAAGCTCTGGAAACAAACCAGAAACGAGGCTGGAAAGCTAGGACAGCCTCTGAACCCACATTTTGGGTCAAATGCAAACCTGCCAACTTTGGAAACAAAAAATCTGGAGAACCACTCATCCGATCAACCAGTTGAAACACACCTGAAACGCCCACATCAGCAGAGCTATCGCTCAGACACGGTGGAAGATGCTTTTGGAGAAGAACCAGGTGAAACAAACTAATAAATCCTGGAGCTCTGCAATGTCTTAAGCCACAACTGAAACCTCAAAGGCAAGCACTGGGATTCAGGCCATTAGTTGTCTTCAGCACAGACTTTATGACTAGAATAAGGCAAAGTGAGAAAACCCATTGCAGGCAAGAGCCTTAGAGATTACTTGATATTAAAATTAGGATGTTTCATTCTTTCAAAGGCTTAAATAAGAGATACTCTCTTAAATAGGCATAAAAGGCAGAAACAGGAAATATCTCGAAGTGAATTTACTAAGAAAAATGTACACAAATGGAAACCAAATATGTGTGCTGGACATCTCATTTGCACAGGACATTGGTAATACAAGAGTAAGCCACGCAATACAGCTGCCGGGCCAGCTGAAATCACTCGCTGATGTGGCCGCTGAGCCAAAAAGATGCAAAGCCAACTATTTACACCAAAGGCAAAGCAGTATCCAGTGCGATAACAAAGCTTATGTGGTAGATGTTGAAAAGGACCTCATTCAATGCCTGGGGAAAGGAGGAAAAATTGGTGTTTTTTCAAGGAAAAGCATTCCAGCACCCTTTGACAGAGCAGGGACAGCAGCCCCATTTCCTAAGAAACACAGCAAAGGGGATGGTGCAGGACCAGAGATGTAATGACCAGCAAAGAACTGGGACCTTTGCATCTCCTCTGCAGCAGTAAGGAAAGCCCACGCAGAAAGGCATTTCCTCCTTTACGTTTTGCACTTCCCATCCCCTTTGGAGACTTTAGAAGATATTTAGACTGGTTTCTAAAGGGAGCAAGGCTGGTGTACAACACGAGCAGCAGTACGGTCCAGTGTATCAGAGCGTAAATCTTGGACATGTGGGTGCTCATGGAGTTCACTGACATTTTGTGAGCTGGACGACAGACATTGCCAGGCTGTGGTTTAGTGAGCCATACTGCGCTCGAGCAGTGAGGGCAGGGGAGAGGATACAGAGTGAATTCCCAAAGGGCATCTACTGTTTGTCAGTTATTTTCACAATTCTTTGTAACAAAGCTGTAGAATCAGTAAGAAAATAAATTTCTCAGAAATCCTCATGATGGGGCTGGCCATTACACTCCCTTTTCTAGTGAATGCCAAACATCTACCTTTGGCAGACTGAAGGGTACGAGGGCTCCAACTAAACTGGCTGAGCATGTAACAGTGGTTTTAAATAGCAAAGTCAGATGTGTCATGTCCTCCCTCCAACCTCAACCCTGCAGGCTCCTACATCCTCTCCACATACCACGTGCATGGTGTTTGCTTATAAGCACTGTAAATAAGACAGATTAAGGATTTTGGATGCAGTCAGGACTTCACTGACATCACCAGCAACAGTCCAGCTGGCTTAGGAAGCACACTCGTTAACACTGCACCAGTGATCGCTGGCTGATGGGCACCTACGAATCCCGCTAATGGCTCTTTCCCAAATGCATTATTATCAAATTACATGTTTTGCCTGGCTTCCAGCTGGACTTAATGATTGCCACGTACCTGTCTCCAGCTGCGCTTGGCATTTCCAATCTAATGACCTCAGGACACTGTGGGGGGCATTAAATGAGGTAGAAGAAAATGAGGCAGAAGAAAACTGATGGAAACAGGCAGCAGCTTGTCCAGATGTAGAGGGTCAATAGCAGGATCCCAGGCTCCAACCCTCTACCTTTATATAGCCGAGTGCACCGTTCTCTTCAATTAATCACTGAGTCTCATCCAGAAAGCACTCAGAGGTGGAGCTCTTGTACAAGGGGTAGGGCAGTTAGGATAAAAAAATTCTGCTACTTGACTATCCAAGCAGGACTACTTCCTCCTCTGGGCAGGGAGATGGTCTAGACAACTCTTGAAATCCCTTCCCTGTTTTCCTATCAATGGGAAGTTTGCTCAAGGGGTCGAGACCCATTTATTTTCAAAAGACTTCCAGAGTCACACTTCGGGGAGCTCAAGGGAACAGAGCCACAATTTCACCCCTCCTGGCTCTAAGCCTGCTCCAAGCAGCACTTGGCTGTGCAGCTCCCTCTGGACTGTGACCTGCTGCTGCCCTGGCTGGTATTTCCTTGCTGCCGCCTCTCGCCTGTGACAGTGTTCCCAGCCCCTTTGGACATGACCTTTCCCCCAGCAATTAATGTGGTAAAGTCTGAAACATCAGGCCCTAAAGCATCAGTTTCATTTACACCTGTTTCCAAGATGCTTTACACTGACAGAATGGTGTGAAACCCAAGTAAAACACACACTCGATGTGTGATCTTTCCTCTGCCTTCCTTAGCACTGCCAACGAAATCCACTGCCAGTCAGCCCACACGCTAGGCAATCTTTAAGCTATTTCTAAAGCTGCTTGGAAGCCTCTTAATCATTACAGAAGGGCTTAATGAGACAGCTGGCCATCACATCCAACGGACAAACCCATTCCTGCCGCAGGTCAGGGGAAATCCGGCTCCAGCAGTACCACAGACGGCTCTCCAGCCCGAAACGCCAGCGTCGAAGGCAAAGCCACGGCTCCTTCAAGGAGGTGGTATCACCCTGCACCAGGCACACAGGGCGCTTTTGGCCTAATCCCCCGGGGGAGCCGTTTGCCTAAACCCTTTCTCCCACCGAGTGCACGGGGAGAAGCAGCAGCTCTCCGTACCTGCCGGAGCTGCTGTCCCAGGGCTGAGCCCGGGCCCGGGGGAAGCTGCGACCCCCTCGGCCGAGCTCACTCTGCTTGCTACCGAGCAACAAACACTCCGACAGCCGGGAGCGGAGCCCGAGGCGAGGCCTTCCCCGCTGCTGACAGCAGGCGGCAGCGGCCGCCGCAGAAACAGCTCTCTCGGTGGCGGCGGCGGCTGGGAGGGCACGGCGTGCGCCCACCTGTAGGGAGGAATCCCGGACTACCAGGACGGGCACCAACGGCACCTCCGACGGGCACGGGGAGAGGGCCGGGGGCGGCCGAGAGGCTGCGAGGCCTCGCTCCACCAGCAGCCGGGCCGCTCGTCTCCCGTGCGGCGGCGGCCGTTCAGCTCCCACCACCAACCAGCAACTCACGCCGAGCGGGACCGCGGCGTCCCGAGCCCCCTCCCTACCGGAGCCCCCACGACGCAGCCGCCGCCGCCCCCGGTCTCCCCTCACGGCGGGGCGGGCGGCCGCCCCTGAGGTGAGGCCCGGGCCGAGAAGGACCGCGCCCAACACCGGTGACCCCGCCCCCCTCCTTCACCCATAGGCTGACGGGCCTCCCCGGCAGCCAATCGCCTCCTGATCTGGCGCGCTCTTCCGCCTCTTCTCCTGGCAGCCTTCTCTCCGCAGTTTCTTCCGCCTTCGCTCTGATTGGCCGCGGAGCGTGGCGGCGGTCTCCCATTGGCTGGCGGCGGCGGGACGGCCCGCTAGGCCGGGGCGGGCGAGGCGTTTCCTAGCAGCAGCGGCCGCCGCCATGGCGCCGCGGCGCGGCGGGCCGGTGGGCTACGCGTTACTGGGCGGGCAGGTCGCGTTACTGCTCGGTAACCTGCTGCTGCTGCAAGGCTCCTCCCGCGGCCTCCCCCATAACGGCACCGAGGCCGAGGCGCCCGGGCCGGGGTCCCCCGCCTCCACTTGGGCCTACACCGACCCGCGGGCGCCGCTCGTCCTCTGTACCTACCTGTGAGCGCCGGGCCGGGCGGCGGGGCCGGGGATGCAGCGGCCGCCTCGCCCTCCCTCACCGCTCCCCCTCCTTCCCCTCAGCCCCGAGGAGTTCGTGGAGTGCGAGGAGCCGGTGGATCACGGCGGGAACGCCACGGCGCAGCAGGAGCTGGGTCACGGCTGCGTGAAGGTGCGGAGCCGGGCGGGTGGGAAGGGATCGGGGGG